TGATAAAAATGAGAATAGTACAAAAGTAAAGATATTAAAGCTATCCATTGTCCCTACTATTTCATAATATAAAGAACATTTGACTCCTGAAGTAGCGATATTATTTTGGATTAAGTTTGAGTCCTTTAGCCTGAGTTAGTTTACCTTACTGAACCACACAATACATTATAACTATTTTTTCTCATGTTGTCTCCCATTGATAGAAACTTTGACATAAGTTGGTAGCAGTCCTCTGAGTAGTTATTGATAACCAATATTATTATTATTTATCTATGCAATGCTCCTGCTTAAGAGTTAGAAAGGTCAAAGAACCTTCCACATTTTGGCCTGTGTTGGAGAATTTTCAAATGAAACTGATTGAGGATATGGGTAAAAAGAAATACTTTGTTCTTTTTCACTTGTTTGTGTGTATAGGGTCAATAAGCTGGCAGAAGTCCACATGGAGATTCAGAATATCCAGCCTACTTCATTGAAGGAACAAAACATAATACAAGGCAAGATCTTTAATACAAAGCTGACCAGAAAATACAGGAAATCAATCTCACCTGGTTGGAATGAAATTACTACCATTCAATTTAACACTGGGGTGAGTATTATTTGCTAAGAATATAAGCTTAGTATGTTTTGGTTGGGTGTAAAGTGTACCGTTTTTTGAATAGCTGAAGTTTAGTTTGAAGTTTCATCATAAAAGCCCTAGCCAGATTTGGGGCGATCGGAACTACAGCTTCATTAATTTCCTGATGTGGAAGTGATGGGCTTGAGATAAAGATCATCGTCACGACACTCGACATTACTTCTCAAGATCACTTTGAAGAGTTCTAATTTTAAATATTTTCTTTGTTCTTTTCTGCAACAACATCGAAGAATTATAATTGCTGTCTGCAGAAGATTTGGCTAATCAGAGTTTGGACAATTTATCACTGATCCCACAGTGTGTATATCTTCCAAAGATATTCTGAAACATTGGTCGTGGCTTGGCTAAGGTGTATCTTGGTCCATTAGGATCCTTTTAAGTAGAGATCACAGTGAGGACAAGGGAGCTACAAGTGAAATCTGAAGGCTTTGCACCCCCAGGGTTTCTTGCATACAGCAGTATGGTAAAAAAGACTAAATGACTAAGGAATTTTGAAAAAGATAAGATCTTGTAACTTTTGAATGTCTCAAATATAATGAAAAAGTGTAAGAAGCACATACACAATGGAAACAATGGCTTATCCATGTGGACAAAATAAAGGGAGAGAAATCATATCCATGGAAGCCCCTGTGTAAAGTTTGAAAGACTACAACACCAACATGCAACAAGCTTAAAGAATAAAGAACAATAAATAATGAAAGGCTGTCAGGAAAAGGATTCATGAGTAAAATGAGAACTTAATCAAGAGATAGACATTATAAAAAAATAAATGCTGGGACTTAAAGAATTAAAAATATGGAATTAAAGGTAATTGCATAGCAAAGTATAAGGACAACTTTAAAATATTCATACATGGTAATTCTAATTGGCATGTCCTTCACACTCTATAATGAGAAGTGCACAATAAATAAGTATACATTCACATTATCTGGCACATGATATATAAAGATGTTAATTGGTAATAATGACAATATAAGTGAATATAGAGTTTGTGTGATTTACCCAAGTGAAAATCATATTCAGATTGTTAAAAATACAAAAGCACATCTATACATTTGTTGCCCTCATCATCTTTACTTCCATTAATTAGCTAATTAACGCATTCAACACATTCAGCAGTGGCAGGATCCATGTTCAACACTGAGAACCATTCAGATTGTTACATATCAGCAATTAACAATTTTAAAATGAAATTCAGGACACAATTCCATTTACAATAATGTCTAAAGGAACAATATACCTAGAGACAAATGTAACCAATGAAGTAAAAAATGTGTACACTGAAAAATGTTAAAGCGTTATTAAAGAAATTGGGAAAACAAAAGGAAACAAAGCAATTACCATCAAGTCTACAAAAATTAACATGTAGATTTAGTGTACTTCCCATCAAAATCCCAACATTTTTCTTTTAAAACATCAAACAGCTACTTCTCTAATTTATATGCAGTTCCAGCAAGGGCCCAAACAATCCTGACAAAAAAAAGTAGGAAGATACTCACTTCCCTATCTCAAAACACACTATAAAGTTACAGTAGTCAAAATAACCTGATACTGGCATGATGATAAACATAAAGACCAATGGAATCGAATTGATAATTAAAACAGAAACAACAAAGTCCACAGAGAAGAAGCACACGAGCCTGTGCAAACACGAAGTGTTGAAGGAAACAGGCAGCAGACACCAAAGAACAAAAACCATCATTGTGTGACCACCTTCC